ATCAACGCAGCAGAGAGGTAGGTCAATGCGGGGGAGTGTTGACAGGCAAGTCCTGTCTGCTGAGTCGTATCATTGACCTCCCTTCTTCACGACACCACAACTTTGCATTCACCTCTCTTGTGTTCTGGAATGTTCACGTGATTTCCCTCCAACCTGTTGCACGTGCAGTGTTTAGCTTGTGTGGTTGCTCGATGTTACATGTTCTTGCATAACACACCACATAACCACACAACTCTCAACAAACACTGCCACGTCACCACTTTGCGTTGTCGACAATTCTTGTCTTCTGCTCTGTTTCTTTCTGTTGGAGTGTTCATTCATCCTACATCCTTGTTTGCTTCACAACTCAAGTAAACACACACAACTCTCTCTTGCCAAGACAATCTCCCACACAACACACAGCACACTCTGCACACACAGCACACACACACACACACATACACACACACACACACACACACACACACAAGTCTCCAACAACAGCACCACCACCATGAACTTACAACAACCACGGCACTCTGCCTGCACATTCTGCGCACTGCGGAACAACACCACCGGGAAATCCTCTCCACTCTGGCGGACCTCGCCCAGACCACAAGAAAGGAAATTGTGGAGCGCAAGGCCGCCTTCCGCGAGGCCCAGGAGCGTGCCGAAGGCGTCGAGGACCTCAAGAAGAAGAAGAAGAAGGACCACAAGAAGTCCCGAGCGGCGTCGCCGTCTAACAACCCGTGCAAGAGGGCAAAAGGTGCAGCAGCAACAACACCACCCGCCACAGCAACAACAGTCACAGCAGCAGCCACAGGCAAATCCCCAAGACCTGCCTACTGCTTCCAGCACTTGGCGCCACAGCTGACAGCAGACAAGCTAAGCAACCTCTTCGCCACACTGCGCAACCACAAAAAAATAAGCCAAGATCCGATGCTGTCAATCCTCCGACAGCACGGCGTGGGGATACCGGGACCCACCGAAATGGATGACGGCCACCATGGTATGTCTGTGCGCATGCTTGCGTGTTTGCCTTGTCTGCTTGATGACCCTACTCGCATGCCTGCTGTTGCTACATCATGCATCGCGGTGTGTGTCCCAGCTCGACCAACGCGACGCACACAACCAACTCATACACACGCACCCACAACCAACTCACACGCGCGCATGCAT